CCTAAAAAGATTTCATATTTCTTTGTGACTACAAAAGCTTCATTATGAACGGGCCTGAAAGGCAGAGCAATGACAAATGTACTACGAAGCACAGCTCCTGCTCCAAGACATCGCACTCAAAGTGCAGAACAATAGACAACAAGCAGACGATGAAGGAACAGGAGGAAACGAGGAAATGATGATACTCATCTTCATGACTGACAATGAGCCGGTGAAGAGTGTGTTTATACCACTGGCTTTGGCCTTTGAAGCTTCTCTGAGAATTGCTTCCCTTCCAATTCAATTTACACAATTCCATGGATGGACAGCCTGATCATGTAGCTTATAGCTGCAATGTGCTTTGATTTTGTTTTGTTGGGGTTTTTTGTAGCCAATGTGGCTTCAACCAGAAGAAGCACAGAAGTGTTTTCTGACATCCTGGAAAGCAAATGATTGATAGTAGAATTGAGGCTTAAAGGTCCAGAAAGAAGAAAATCCTAAACCCTATCTAGCATTTTGGGGTAAGAGAGATTATACAGATAATTCCTCAGACACAGCTCTGTAAGAAAGGCAGAGAGCCATTTTCAAACCGTTTAAAAATATTCACACCACATATGTTATATTAATTCACCCTATTTGGAAGGAGGTTCCTTGCACAGTGAGTGAGGTAGACTAACAGCAAGAAATCATTCTGGTTTCTTGATCCAATCACTTAATCCAACTCTTGCACAAGTTCTTTGGCAATTTGGACTTCTCCTTGGCCTGGGATATTTGCACAGAGAACTAAATAAATCAGGCTCTAATAAAAGCGGTCAATAGATGGCAATGCTCTAATGAGATGGGAGAGAAGTCATCACACAGCAAGTCTCAGCAATCCCACCCTTGCTCTTGATTGCCCTGCAAGGTGGGCAGAGCAGGAGGATTTAATACCCAGCAGAGTTTCCCATCTTCTAGTCCCCGTGTTTGATAATATACAACAAAATTTCAGGTTTAACCCATCTCACACCTTAAGCTATTTGGGTTCAACGCAGAGAGGCTAAATGCCTCTCTGTATTCTCCTAACAGGTAAATGTCAGTCAACAGCAAGACCTCACTCATCTCCCCTTGAGCATGGCAAAGAGTCCAGCATTTGCCCTTTGTTACATTGGTGTATACAGCCCTTGAGCATTATCAGCTGCTGCCAACTGCCCATTCTCAGTGGAGACAACTCCAGGTTGCTACCTAAGCAGGCAACATTTTAACTGACATCTCATGCTAAGTCAAGCCTTCTGTCTTTCTTTTTCCATCCTTACATAGTGACTTTTCTTGAAGCACTTGTTAATTAGGTCTCTTCATTCAAGGAGCAGAATCATGACAAACAGGAAGGGTTCCCACAAGACCATTTAACTCTAAAGATGTCTCCTGCAAACGTGTGTGAGGATAGTCAGTCTCTGAATACTGAATACTGAACTTGGTGCTCAGAGCAGATTCAGAATCAGGGACCCCAAATGAACAGTCACTTGGACTAGAGACTTGGATTCATTAGACTACATCAGATCATACAAAGCTCTGATAGCACAGAAGTTAAGTGAGGTGGGTTTACATGGAAAATAATCATTTTATAACATGAGATAACTAGGACTAGGGAAGGATTTTTCATGTTTAAGAAGCTCTATTAAAAATTTCTTTTTGTAGAAGGAATAAGAATAGCTAGTTCACATACTAAGATGTAGAAATCTTAAGGCTTGATTTTCAAGCTTATATTCTATAACTAAAAAAAATAGCATGAGCTATTGTTTTCCAAAGCTGCTACAAAAACCAGAATGCCCAATTAACTGTAACTTGCCCGGCAAACTTCTGTATGGGAAGGGAGCACTTCCACCCTAGTTTGCTTTAGATTTCAAATGAAAGACAGCAACTGGGAGTGCAACGCTGTCAAAATAGCTGAATCCAATGGCTCCTGAGCTTACTAGTCCTTTGGAGACTCAACAGCAGAAGGATGGAGATGTCAGGGAAGAACAATCAGCTGTAAAATATGAAAAGCTTACAACATCAAAACCTACAGCAGCAGGCTCAAAAGTAATAATCCCATTACCACTAAACTAAAGCACTAATTACTATTCCCAGTGGCTGGAGTGGACTGACTGCTAATGTTCCTCTGGTTAATGAAGGAAGGTGAGGGAGAATATATTTCTTAAGTCAGACATCTGCTGAAATCTGGGCAGCCATAAAAACTATGTATGTAATGAAGCCATTCATATTAATGGCAATAACATTCAGAGGGCTGAGCAGGAAAAGAAATGAGATGATAGTGGATTGTAACTCAGAGAAGAAAAATGCTCTGTATTATCCATTTGATGACTGCCCTTAATTAATCCATACTGAATAACAGAGCCAGTCAAAGCAAGCAACCACATCCCATATAGGCTGTTTCACTAACAGGAGCTAACCTGCTTAAAGACAGGAATAACTTCTCTAAAAACATAAAGCGGGGTATATGCCATTGGAAAAGGAATAAAGAGCATTTTATTTTCACTGACTACAATTACACTAAGAAAAACACTCCCAAATCCTCTGTCTTGCGAAGAATCCAGATTTCCCCATCATTCTTTGCCTTTTTCATCAACAAGTAGTACATTGTTTAAGGTTCAAAGGTGCTCATTTACCAAGAGAGATAGATTCTGATAAATGAAAGGCACAAAGCAAAAGCATGCCCGTTCAGTTAGCTTTACTGTGTTTCTGTCTGCCATGCTCAGAGTTTTAGAGCATTTGTAACTGATAATCATTTCAGATAGAGGACACGTGGCTTGTGGAACAAGGGGGTTAGACAGAAAAATTAGTTTCCCTCTTGGCATTGAAACAAGATGCGCCTTGCTTAGCAAAAAGGTGATACCACAAGGGGAATCAGACCAAAAGATGACCCCTCTGTGTTTTGACTTGTTAGGAAAATAACTTTCATCAACTCCAGAAAAAGAAAACCAAACATGCCCCTACAGCAAATGCTTAAAGACACCTCATACTCCATTGTTTTTCTGTTTCATTGTCTTCAGTATTTGCCACATACTGTACACGCGCCTTCAAAACAGAACTCGTCTCCTGCCATCCACTCACTGTTTTCATCACTTCTTCCCATTTCATTTAGCAAATAGGGCAGTACCAAAAAACACGCTCTCATATATTCAGCATGTGTTTCATATAAAGGCTACAGAATATAGATCCACAGAGAATGTTACACATTCACAAACTTACAATTTATAGAACTAAAATAAACTACTTGGACAAACTGCTATTAATGATTCATTCATCAGTGCAAATGTTCTCAGGTGAACTGGGTGTGCTCAGATTTTTTTGATTGCACCATCGTCTTTCCTTTGCAATTCTGGTTCTACCTATCTAGGTTTGTTATGAAGTAGCTGAGCCTGTAAAGTAGGTGTGGCCTGCGAAGAAAACCTATAAACATACACTGAGAAAACCAGCTCCAAGACCATTTGCCTCTTCTCTGAATAAAAATATTTTTGTGCAAACTTATTATCCACATATATCAGACATATTCCTCTTGAAAAGATAACCTTCTGATTGCCTTGGCTATCACTCGTACTGGGTATATCCATCTCCAGCTGTGTATACTTTATGGTTGTACTTATTTTTTTAAATCTCTAAATAGATTTCTCTCTTACTATTACTGGAGGTTACCCTAAATGTTACCCAAAAGACCTTGGTAACGTCAGCTGATTACAAAGGCCCAGCCTCCCAAGATGTTATTGCATTAATTATAGATGTGTCCAGGCTGATGATACATAAGGAAAAAAAACCAAACCAGCTACTCTCAGCTGCATGTTTATTGCCCACTTTCAAAAAAAGATTTATTTTAATCCCACCACTGTGCTTCTATTTGTCAGCTGAGTGTACTCCTAAATTAAATAATTACTTGCATTTGATATTATTTGTTAGATAACACAATCCTTGTGGTAAAAATTACTGCGATCCACTCTAGAAGTCTAATATCTGCAGGATGTTAGAGAGATGACTTATATCAGTGGGGAGGTAGTGATAAATACTACTGTGCACATTCTAACTAAAGAAGAAACAAAGACTTTTAGCTCACTCCAGAACTGATCTCCAAGGCGTGACAGGGCCTATCTTCTAAAGCTATGAGCCAGCCCAAACATCTGGTCTTGTAGGAGTGCAGAGAGGGTAGGGAGAGGGAGTCCTGTGGTTAGACTCCTTACTCTTCCTCATACTGCAGTGAAACTGTTGGCAACTACTGCTTCGTGTGCAGCTCCACAGAGCTAGGGCTCAGCACCGACAGATCCCTCGGTCAACCACTAGCTCTGGCTTCTTTGGGTCTTTGGCTCCCCTCTGTAAAAGGGACACAGTAGTGCCCTTCCCCGTGGAGCAACAAGACCCCGTTTGTCCTGTTTGATTTTGGTATCACTGTTATTCATGTTAGCGGTGCTGCTCTGTTCCACTCCCAAATGACTTCCCATTCTTTACATACTGCTATCACAACAAAACAGTGGTATCAGCAGAGCATCTCAAAGCAAAAGGAGATTGAAGAAATGGAAAACAGTGAATGGCTCCTCTAGGCTCCTGCTGGGAGAGGATACCAGGCTCTGGGGAATCACCAGCTTGGCAGGTTTTCTGTTAGTTAAGGAAAGGTTCTTCTACAGGAGATTTTCTCTCTGTAGGAGTACGAGGACATGCTGTACAGTTGCAGACCAGTAAATACACCTATGAATATACTGCACTGCCCTAGGATTCACAAAGGAAACCTCACTAGGAATGTCTCCCAAGTGAAATGACTTACCCAAACCTGCTCCAGATTCATATTCAGATCTTGTTGCTTTACTAAGAAATATTTTACAGTTGCTTCTTGCTAACAGTATCTAACAACACCACATTTACTTAAAAATAAGCAATCAACTAGTTTCACATACACCACCTCTTCTCTCAGGATGAGCAAGTTCCTCTCCCTTCTGGCAAAACCCCACAACAATCATTAAGATACCATAACAATCATTAAGATGGGGAGAGACACTTACCGTGACCCGGAAGGGCGTTGTGGCAGCAGGCTCCATGGTGGGGTTCTTCTCAGTGACCCCACTGGGCATGCTGCGCCTCTGCCCACACCTCTCCGGGGGGGACTCTGTGGATGGTACAGAAAACAAAGGACAATTACAAACACGCAAGCACAGGAACAGTCCAGGAACATCAGCAGGCCATGCAAAATGTGGCTTCTTCCTTTGAGATGCCCTTGCAAATGAGCCAACACAACAACCCCACTGTATCTGCTCGTACTTCCCACAGCCGCCTAGAACAACGTTCAATCAGCAAGACTTTCACCTTCAACAATTAGCATTTTTTATACAACTGTAAGCTTCAGATAATGCCTGACAGGTTGGCATTATCATTATTTCCAGTCTGCAGATGGGTAAACAGAAAATGTATTGAGCTGAGTGAGAATTATATGCAAAGTACAGATCCGTGCACTTGTGGACTTGATACTCCTAAGGGAAACTGCTAATGGGGTTACAGGCGCAGGATGCTTAAGTTACCTCTCCAATTCCTCTAGCAATTTGCTTTGTAACTAGGAAAAAATTATTAAATCCTGCATTTGCTAAAGTATAAAATGTGGATAGGAATACTTACCTCCTTCCCTGCTGGTGAGGAAGGGAGGGGGCTGAAAAGGCTAAATTGACAAATATGCCTAACACTGAGAAGGTTTAGAAAGATATTAGGTAAGGTCAGCAACAGCGTTATGAGGTGGTGTTTCCTCAGTTCACAGACCCTCTTTGAAAGCACCATGGAACTCATAAAAATAGATCCATTTCCAAGCTGCCATTCAATGATGCTCAGACCTTATAACAAGCTTCCCTTCTCAAACCATTCGAGAGTCCTTATTAGCCAAGCATTTCCATCGCCCAAAAGGCAGAGCTGTGTCATCTCCATTCTGTTGATCAGGAAGTCTAGAAAATGGGCAGGGCCTGTGGTCACGATCATGTAGGCATTTAGCGATAATTTCACGAAAAAAAATTCAGGTGTCCAGACTACAGTGTTCTCAGGAGCGGACACATGACATAAGGGCTGAAGAATGCTCCTCCTCGAACAGCGTTGCGGCTCTCCAGGAGGTGAGGAGGCTCCCTGCTTGAGAGGGGACTGTACAGTCTTCTGTACAAATCTACATGGGTCAGAGACCTGTGCATGGCTTTGCAAGTTAAGAAAATGTCTTATATAGATCTCTACAGCGAGGCAAATAGGTTAGAAGTAACAGCTCAATCATTTTTATGAGCAGAGTTTAAGGCCATGTAAAGTGCCAGGAGTACAAAACAAAGGCCTGAGCAAATCTCATAGTAGTGCACCTTCATTTTCAACCACCAGTTACTTTGCTGCTCCTTTGAAAGTAAGCACACGGGATTCTTTTGAGCCGAGTGCTTCTTTTCTGCTTGTCCCTGCCCTGCTGTGGCACTGACCACATCCACCAGTGGGAACTCTACTGTAATTTCCACTCAGAGCCAGACCTTTAGGGACATGAAGAATTTTTACATTCAAAATCAGCCCAAAACTGTTTAAGAATTCTCAGAATGGGTACAAAAATTAAACAAATATCAGGTGGTATATAAATACACTGGTAAGGTGCAAGCTGGGGAAAGGCTTTTGTCAAAAACTGTCTTCTTTAGGCTTTTTTTTTGCCACACACCAATACATATCAAAATATTGTCCTCTGCCATCAAATCACGGTCTCCTGAATACAGAATAGTTCAGGCTTCAGAGAAGATGAATGCAGCTCATACTTCTTATTCTCCCAGGCCCCAGAATCTTCTCTACTCTTTTATTTATCCACATCCACTGGGTTGGACTTTTGTTAACTGAAATTCTCCCTTTCTGTAGGCTTCTTTTCCACAAATGTTTTCTGTCCTTTATATCACCTTATCAACAAACCCTTCTGATGTATAGAAATCCCTATAACTTTTGAAAGACAGTGTCTGGATATGTAACACTGAGTTATTTACTAAACAATATGGAATCCAAGCAAAGACAACAGCAAATCAACAACAATTTCAGAATGACACTGAAAAGCAGATTTTTCACACGGTCATTCTTCTCATTTTTTAAAAATGATGAGCATAAAAATAAATTTTTAAATGGAGCTGAAATAAACATTGGGGGAACTCATTCTCATACACAATTTCACAGGCAACAGGCATGCCAATGCATATCACATCATTGCTAGGGTTCTTGGTTGGGAATGAGAGGTAGCCTGAAGAAGAGTACCTGCTGCAAAAGGAAATTAGATGGCAGACTCTGCTAGAGGGAGGCTTCTACAAATTAGTATGCGAAGAAATCTAAAGATCGAATAACCTATACTTCAGCATGTCTCAGACAATGATGTTCTCGTAACTAGTGTAACTTAGAGGTGGTTTGTTTGCCAATTCTCAGCCTCTGCAATCTGTAATTTGCTGCCATCAGATCTTGGCAAGGAGGGTTGTCCCCTTAGCAAGGTTCTCCCCTTGCCAAAGACTGCCATCACCCGGGATCTGTAAGAAACAACTAATACCTGCAATTCCACTCAACAATTCCTGAGATGTATCTTAAACTATTCCAAAAGGACAGACTGTGAGATTCCACCCATGGACTGGGTGAACTGCCTGTTCAGTAACATCTTCCTTCGTTGCAAATCCCGTCCATAATTCCTCACCAGCGGCCACGTAACCCGTATGAGAGCCAGACAGCCAAAATCAGCCAGTTCATTGCCTAAACAACTTCCAGCCAAGCCTTCTAATGTCTTGGCCACTTTCTTTGCAGAATGCTACACTTCGAATCTCAAGGAGGCAATCAAGTCCTTTGGTGTCATCTCCTTTCACACTAAGGCTCCCACCCCATTCCTTTGAACAGTGGCCTTCTATTTTTTGGACTGTCATAAAGAAACTACTTGATTACAGCATTTTGAAAGTGAGTTCAAGATGACAAGACACCTGAAGAAGCTGCTTTGCATTTTCTTAACGACCAGAAAAACAAACGTTGTTTAAAGCATTTCTCATACACTTGGCTGGAAAACAGGAACAACAGGATTACGTGAAAAGCGGCTGCAAGAAATGACTTTCCCCAGAGGCCTGCAGCACAGGCACAGAGTGTGCTCCCCAGCCCAGCACACTTCTCACCTTCAGCACAGCGGGAAAGTACTTGCTGTTCCGTATAGGTGTTACAGCACTACTGACTTGCACCACAGTGGTTTGTCAGACCGAAGTGCACAATTGTCTCACTTTCGGTAATCTGTCAATCTGCTTCCTCTTTCAACCACATCGGTCAGACTTCTTCAGAGAAAGGGAGAGTGTGTTATGACCCGGGGCTGATTAATATCTGGGTCTGACTGCACTGAAGTCACAAACTGTACTCTTAAATTCTTACTTCATCATTAAAATATACCCAAAGCAGAGCCAGCAAACACATCCGTTTGATCCAGACCAAAATACAGAGATGGGTTAGGACCTAAAGCTTCCTATTATTGTTAAGTTTATGGTTCATAAAGTGTTTGGAGGCCAATCTCCATTTTAGCTTAGTTTAAGCACTGTGGGTATCACTGGAGAGGGGAGGCTTTGCAGGAGAGACACATTACAAAACCCTTTACAAGAAACCAGAAGTAACTAGAAGGAGGGTGTGGGTGTTTGGGGCAGAGCGGGGGGAGCTGTTTGTTTTAAAGGGCGGTAAAAATAGCTTACAGGTAAATTAGTAACTCCTAACTACCAGAAGTGTACAGCAGAACAGTTTTACACAGCAAACAGTACGAATACGTAAAGGTTTGAACTGCCCTTTTTACTTCTTCAGTGTTAGGGGAAAAGTCTTAGGCCAGGTTACTGGCATTAGCGATGTCTGTATAGCAAGCCCACAGTAACACCGCCGCGGCAGCCTGCCACCACAAGGCAATAATAAAACCTCTCTCCATAGTCACTAGAGGCTGAAAAAGAAATATGTTAATTTACAGCAGAAGATATTTAGGTTAACCATTGGAAAAAGTCTTCTCTTGGCATGGACAGTTATACGTTGGAATTGATCATCTAGAGAGATAAATGTATGTTCAAGCCTAATTCAAACCTTTCTGTGGCAGAGCTCTCCCTGTCAGGCGAGGTTCAGGTACAATGAGCTTCCTTCCCTCCCCTCTCCTGGGACAGATACCAGATGATCTCCCGAAATCCCCTCCAGCCTTACTTTCTGTGATTTCTGAAAAATTGGCCCACTTGTGCATAAAACAAGCAAGCTACAAGAGATTGGATTCAGTATCTGACCTCAGCCTTTTCTTCACAACCTCTTCACACATCTTCCTCCTCTCCTGAACTTACACTCCATTTCTGGCTGGACAGACTCCACTGGCAGTTCTGTATAGCACAGGGAGTCCAGGCTCCTACACTGACCTCTGTTACAGACTCACAGTGTGACCCTTGGACATTTTAATGCTTTTCATCAGATTCACAATTGATAAAAACCTTCAAAATCCCATGGGAACACTACAAGATTTCATTAATTAATGTCTGCCATCCATTTTGTATCCCAAGATAAAGGATTCCAGAATGAAGAACAGTATTACTGCAGGCAGCTAACCACGGAATGACATTTCCAGAAGCACTTAGTATTATCAGATAACATCCTCACTAGACAGTGAATTTCTCTGTTAGTTTAACACTATCCCTCAGCTCATAGAAATTCCAGGATTATACCTTCATTTGTCCATTTATTTGCTCTAGATCAGATTTGATCTGAGGACTTAGACACACAGTATCTCAGGACACTATTTGCTCTCCCGAAGTCCTCAACTTGTAATGAACTTAAAACCTCCAAATCTTTCTTTTATGACACAGAGCCCTGAAAATCACTGAAGTAACAGTCTATTAAATGAGGATTACAGTGCAGGCATATGGATCTGAAAACGGATTCCTTGGGTGTAGCGAAGAAAGCCACAGTATCCAGCAGCAGAGATGCCAGTGTGCAGAAACAGATGCCCACAGAAAGGGATGGCTTTCCGATTCTCCACCATTTCCACCAGCCCACAATGCACCCAAATAAAGGAGGGGATATATACAGATGAGCCATAAGAAGCTGTCTAATCACTGTTGGACAACTGAACCAGGCAAGCGCACCTAAGTATATTACCTGGCCCTTTAGAAGCTCTTAAAAATCTCAAATTTAGACTGGAAAAGGTTCATAAGTCACTCTGAGGAGGACTGTGGCCATTCTGATAGAAATTCCTCATCTAATTTTCTCCTCGTTGATATTTTTTCTGTACTTCTCTAAGCTTGCCCAATGACAACTAGGCATTTCTACTCACACTCTGTTTTACTTCCACTCTGCATGTTGTAGAACTGTGCTCCTGTGGGCCCTCCCAGTTCTTTCTGATGACCATGTACTAAATCTCCCCATAAGCAGCACTGTTCAACGTCTGCCACAGACTGATGCTGGGCTGGGGCTCATCCGCGCTATGCAATCACTGAAGCAAGAAGAAACAAACAAAAGTGCTTCCTGCTTTTCCAAATATTTACAGAAGGCTGCAATGTTTTGGGTTTTCCCCAGTGCAGGATAAGATCTTCAAAGAGAAACTTCTTTGAAATTATCAACCCCCTGAAACCTCTCCCAGGTTATCACACATAGTTGGGTCCAAAGCGCTGCTTGGTGTGTATTGCACTAGGATTTTTTTTTTTAAGTTGCCAGGGCTGAAAGCATCCCACTGAGTTCACTGCCAACAGGAGGACACTGTAAACACTGCACATTAATTGAGGACCTAGGGCTTATGAATATTTCTGAAACTGTTCCTGTAAAGTAATAAACACGTGAGTTGTTAACTAATTCAAGGCATTTGAATTGACAGAGTAATTAACCCCTACTACACTTTTCCATGCCTGTTCTTCATGCTGTGGAATAGTTACAGAGCAGCGTAGCAATCCCCCCCAAGGCTTCCAGGACATCAGCAGCAGAACAGACTGTGAGGAACTCCTGGCACCAAAGCTCTTGTTTAACCCACTCAACATCACTGCCTTCTTCGTTGCAACTTCTCAGACACTGCTACAGAGCAGGTCATTATGTGTAACAAACACACAAACAATATTAATACTGTTTACTTTTCACTTAGCAAGTGAGATGTTTTTACATTTGCATTACCTGCTCTTGTGAATCACAGCTAGTCCAAGAGATCATCAGGATTATGCTCTCATTAGTGGGAACGAAATACATTAACTCCTTCTGTTTGTGCATCTCTCTTCACGCCCTCCCCCTCTCCCGCTCTCCTCTCACGCACAATTCCAGGGATCAGCCAGTGGAAGGGACAGTATTAACAAAAGCAAAGAGAACCAGCTGGAAGGAGTAACTAACAAGCAGGCACTTCCCAGCAAGTTGATTTTCTGATATGAAACTGTTCCAACTCCAAACAAGAAAGGGAGGTACAAATCTGAATGAGCGTCAGAGAAGTTAGCAATGAGAAAACGTCTCCCTCAACTCACCAAAAGGAAGCTGTGCTTGTCAGCAACGCACATGCCATGGCACTCCGAACAAGCCAGGAATAAGAGGAGAAGTAGAGATGATGACTTCATCAGAGGCAGCAAGAAAGAGAAGTATGACTGGAATGCCAGACAAGCCAGCAGCGCTGGGGAGACGCGGCAGGAGGCCAGGTTCCTGCACCGTACCGCAGTGACGTGCTTTAAGGAAAGGAGACTTTAGAGGCCAGTACAAATTCACCAGATCATCTGGATGCAATGCAGAAAACTTAAGAGTTGGTCAGAACCAAAAGCTGGTGGAAAAGATCCTGCAGGCAGCCCTCGGAGAGGTCAGGCTGGCTCCCGACCTTAGGCAATGATCCGCCAATGAAGGTGTGCTCCTCCCTGTCCTGCCCCATCGGTTTAGTGCTTGACATCTCCAGGGTGCCCCAGAGAGCTTACCAGGGTGGAGTTTCTGTGAAACCAGAGGGAACAGGAATTACCGGTCTCCTGCTCATACAATTATACTCTGTGAATTAAGTTTATTGCTTAATGAATTTAGGTGTTATTCCTCTAATTTCTGCATTATCTAATAACTCCTTACTACAAACCCAACAGAGGAGAGAAGGAGGCACATAGTAACAGAAGTGATTTATTTAACATGGCTCACAGTAGCGTTTATGAATTAAAAACAATCCCCGGAGAGTAGATATTTGTAGTGTCTGTGTGATTCCGAATACTCAAAAGAGGCTGAAGAAGAATCTACATTTCAGACAGCTTTAGGTGGCCACATGTGTCCAGGAGGGAAGATGGATCTTTAATCTGAATCCAAAGGAGTATTTAGAAGCTACTGTTAGAATAGTGGCACTTTTTAAAAGTGGAATATTACCCCGGGAATAAACAAAGACAGAAAATAATAAATACTGAGGTGAGGCAACTTTCCCTTTCACCAGGCGTGAATAACTCTGAAAGGGAAGCAGAGATGCAAAAGTGTCTGAGTTCCAACGGACAAAGGTCAGTTAAGTACCACTGACAGGTTATGAATGCCCTTACTAACACTCTCCTCCTGCTCCCGGCAGCTGAACTAGAAATATAGCTGCAAGGCCAGTTTCGTTGTTCAATTACCTGGAGAACTATTTATTGGAACATATCGCCCAATGCCCTGTTGATCCCTTGGTGAATTCCAGTTGATCTCTTACAGCAATATTATAACCATTATGTCACACAAAATTAATTAAAAGTCAAACCTTTATTAGGCAATAAAATTGACTTTTAAATAAAAATGGTCGTGAAGCAAAAGTTTAGGGCAGGTAATGCTGCCCTCTGAAAAATCAGACTCATCTAAAAGCAAAGCTAATGAACACTCAGAGTGGGTATTCTCTAGGCTAATGAAAGTTTGTGTCACTACCACTTCTTATATTAGAATAATTTCTTTTTGCATCTTAGAATCTCTAGCTTAAATACACTTCTATAAAGCACAGCAATCCCACTGGCTGTACCCACAACTGTTCCATGTCAGAATCAGTGATTTACTCCCCACTCATTTAATGCCCTGAGCAGAAATAGTTTCACATGTTCTCATGCTCCTACTACCTTTTCAGACAATTAAGGATAATGTTTACAGAACTATAGCTCGTAAAAAAAATTCTCACTTATCTAGCCATTTACATACAAAACAAAAAAATAAATTGGGATCATTACTTGCCTTTTGTGCTACACTCTGGCACAAAATATTTAGAATTAAATAATTAGAGGCTGGTTCTATGCCTATAGCTAATGCTATCCACAGTGACTACACCAAACAGATCCAGCTTCTTACCATTACCTTTGTTTCTGTCACAGATGACTTAAGCATTACAAAAACACTATATTCAGCTTAACAGGGGGAATGCTGTCTCTGACTCAACTGTGTCCCTGCCTGAAAGCATAAAAAGGCACCTGAAGCACCACTCAGAGCCATACAATCCTCTGCAGCTACAAGAACGGTGGCTGGGACAGTTGTGTGAACTGAAGAGCCTTATTAGAACTGGCTGGAAAACAGAAAACAATTCAACTCACAGAAAACATCAGACCACACTGTTTCCCATCAGCTAAAAAATTATGACCATCTTCTCTCAAAAGCAGGACTAAGACATTCTGCAATAAGAGCTTTTTCTTTTGCTTTGTTAAATAATGATTTGAAGTGACATTGACCTTTGCCATAGCACGCTGTGCACTTTAACGGATCTCATACCATCTCTGTGTCAGGTTCCCGGGTATCGTGTACTGTGTAGTATTTAATATTCCTCATACTGCTCCTGAGTAAGTGCTATTAATGGCTCTTGAATCTAGTACTGAAAAAAGGTGTGCTATTTTTCTGTGTACTTGATATGTATCTATTCCTCCATTTTCTCTAATATTACCCACTGAGACAATTCTTTTCCCAGCAGCATGCCAAGGTGCTTTTTGATGCATGCAAGCAGAAATGGGACTTACTGTCCTTTTCTCGTGTCTTTCTGTGGGCTTTGTCTGCCCAGTTTTGCAGCCTCTTCTTTCCTGGAAAGCTCAGTTAGGCCTTTCCACCCTTCAAAGCTGGAATAAGCTGTGTTTCTACTGTCACCCAGCAGTGGGGTAAAGGGAGCGTTGCTCTGATATAACAGAAATCCAGCTGCCTCACTAGAGGGAGCTGAAGCCCCTTCGCTGGCCAACCTAAACCACAGCACTGACCGAGCAAGAGGACAAAGGAGGTCTGTGCTGCCTGGAAGAAATCCGCTTCTGACACAGACATCAGGGGTGTGGGATTTCTCTCTGGTGTTGTTTATCTGCTTGTTTAGTTGACGTTCAGTATCGCCGATAGTTAAGAGGACTTCCCCTGTCCTTCTGTACGCTCCTTTGTACCTTTCAGTGCTGTGGAGGGCCATTCCCGGCACAGCCAGGCGGCTAACGCCTCTCCTCCGGCCAGTTCACATCCCCACTGCAGATGCTGGCCCTCTCCACCTCCTGCCTTCATTCTTGTAGCTTAGTGATAGATATCTAGGGCAAATTCTGCCTTCCTAGAAATTGATGGGGAATAGATTCTTTACCTGAGGAGACAGATGAGACACATTTGTCAATAAAAACGTACTCCCAGAAGGCAAAAAGGAAAGGAGAAGAAAATAGCACAAATGGGAAAGGAAAGCTTAGATAATTCTCAACATGAGGAGTTTGAAAATATACACACTAATCTCTCTGTACTACCAAACTGAAGAAAGGTCCACGTCCAAAAGAAAGACATAGCTGCAGGTCCCCAGACCTGATGCCAGAGTGGTGACAGGGAAAGACTATAAGGCATCCAGAAAATTCACCCCCTTTCGAAAAATAAATAGCAAATCATGCTGATTGAGCAGCCTTTATTACAACTCCATTTCTACTGTCTTGGGTTTTTTTAACTAGATATGTATATATATAATTGGTATTTTTATTCTTTATTTATCAGTCTCTGAAATAAAATATGTATGATATTTATCTTTCTTTGGTATGATGTCTAGAGAACAAATTCGTCTTTTGCTAACGGCGTATCATTAGGAGCCTTTTCTCCAGGGTAAAATTGGAATCAAGCACAAACTTTAAAAATACATCAGAAAAAGATGAAATTCTAGCTTGGTTGGGGAACAGATCATGGAGACTGCTAATACCCTGGTTAAAATGGAAAGGATGATAAAGTGAAGTGGAACATCAGCTTCCTCCCATGTGATGATAAAGACAAGCAACATGGAGTCTGGAGAACAAGAAGTCAGCTCTGGGGAGATTTAAATTAGGTCCATCCATCATGCTTAACATTTCTGCAAAGATTCAAAACTGTTACCGTGCTGCTTTCCTGCAGCACTCCATCAGCGTGGCTGCCTATTCACAGAGGCAATCCACGGCAAAGGAGAAACTTTTACACTCCCTGTAATCTGTGTCACTGCGGACACAAACCATGCCACCTGTACACACCGTGCGGGACAGGGCAGGGAGGATACAACCCTCTTCTGCTTGAGACTGCCAGGAGCCCCAGTGGGCTGAAGCACCGTCAGTGGCCAGCCACCTCTGCAGACTGCTGGCCCAACACAAGGCGGCCATCAGCACGTGGCGGTGGAGGACCATGGACACCCGCCAGACGGTCTCACATAGCCTTCGGCTAACCTCACAGGATCCCTGCAGCAGAACGGCTGGAGAATGGACTGTCCCTTCTGCAGCTACGTCTCTCCAGTGATTTCAGTACAGCTGACGCAGGTCCTGCCGGGCCTCCCATTTCATTAAGACTCCTGGGATTGCAAAAGGGAGTTGGAAATCTCACAAGAACAAATTGTGTTGCAGGACATTGGCCCTCTTTGCTTCCAATTTCAGAGAGAACTAAAAAGTATAGAGCCACATAGTGCCACAGCGGCGGCTCCTGTGAGACGGGAGATGCACATCCAGATTGCAGCCATGTTTTTGTCTCCTGTTAGTGAGGTTTGTTTCCTTGACAAGGTGTTCTTATGTTTGGTTTGGGGCTTTTTTAATAGCTGTCTTGGACAGATGAACTACAAACCGGTTCAGAACAGTTTACCTTGTGTGTGGAGTAGCAGCACAGTATAAATGGAAACTTTGCGCAGTTTAATTACTAGGCCATTTTTCCACTCGTGTGTGGTGGCTGCTATAACAGGTCTGTACTGGCAAAATGCAAATTAAATAAATAAATACTTAATTTATAAGCATGATTCATCAGAGGTTTCATCTTCTACAGCAAAGAAACAGATGTTCTATTGATGGCACTTCATTAGAGAGATAAATGGGGTCACATACATATCGCTATTCACATCCATCTGCATAATAGACCAAACATTAAGATTTGAAATTCGCATAGTACATGCAGCTCTTACATCAGTCTGAAAGAGTCTTAATGCCCAGAGCCAATTAATCCAAGTTAGATTGCCTTAACATTGAAGGAACTTTAATATTGTTCAGGAAAGCAGAAGGTTGGGATTTAACACTGGCTATTTAGGCTACAGTTTCACTGGAAACACAGAATAATAACAGCTTTTAACTAACTGGATTTTTGGTAGCTGCTGGACAAAATATAGTATCCCTCCTGATGAAGCAACTCAAAGACAGTATTAAAAAGCAGCAGTGACAGGAAAATCTGAAAACACTGTTCTTCCTCCAGTTACAACTATCAAAGGTTAGGATTAGGGGTAGGGTTAGGGATAGCTGGGAGTTTTTTTCC